ACTTGTCATTATCCTCCTTTGTATTTATCCATATGTTGTAGTTATCCTAATCATTATAGGATTAGGATAATCATCCCCTTTATTTGTAGCAATCCTTATCTCCTAAGGAATATGCTTTATTCTCTTGTATGTATATATATATGTGTAACCACGTGATTAATAATACAATGAGAGTTACAACCTTCTTTATTCCACAACAAAATTAAGGAATATTAACATATATTTCGATTAAAAAGTTGCATATACAGTTGTAAATGGATATGCCAAAAGTATAGGACTAGGATCAAGTAATGGTATTCGATGGTATTTAGAGTTGGCTTTCTCTCTCATGAAATTTTTAAATCGATAAATATTATTTCGAGTCTCTACCATCTCGATGGCCTCTCACCAGTGGTCGCAAACTTCATTGTTGTAACTAAATCCCGCAATCATAATTTTACTGTGAAATGTGAGCTTTTTATACTAATATTTGTTTATTAAATAGTTTTAACACTACAGTATTTATCGATTGTAAAGGGACAAATACAATATTGGTATTTTAAATTATTATAGGTCTAGACGTTTGAGACCTCATTGGTTTTGGTTTGATTGAGACGTATTTTTAGATTTTGGTGTTATACTCATAAAATCCCATTCGAGTTTTACTAATTATCGGGTTGGATTCGGTTTGGTTCATTCTCAATTTAGTTTGGATTGGATTGTAACCAATATCTGAAATCATCCCAAAATATATTTTTAAATCTCAAAAGTTGACAAAAAAATTCAAAATATTTAAACTATTCATAAATCTAATTTAAAACTACTTAAACTATCTAAACTAATTAAAAGATATTTAAATAAACTAAAACAAACTATAAAAATCTTTCGAATACTATCAAATATATACATTGTAACATATATTAAAACGTTAACATATTATACATTTCATAGTTCGAATTTTGGTTCGGTTCAGATTATAACCAAAACCCAAAGTACTAGGCTCATAAGTCAAGTTCGGATATTTTTGTATAACGGCTCAGATCCATATTCGTTTTTTCCGGTTCAGGTTTAAGGTATGTATTTCGGCTTAGGGTAAAAGCTCCAGACCTAATGTATAAGTCAGTTTAATTATTTTTAAGACTTCATATACACAAAAATTAAGTTTTGCGATAAAATGACAAAAGAGGATTAGGTTTTATGCTCTCGATTTGTTTACTATTAACTCTTCATAAGTGATTTAATTTTTTACCTCTATAAAATTGTGCTTTCGTTCTCGTCTCTATTCATTGATATGAGTTCTTTTTTTTTACCTTCTTCTTAAATTCGGTAAATTACATAAGTGTCAACTTAAAAAGATGGACATGTGTAAAAATTAGTTCCACTCCCGATAAATATCTAAGAATCAAAATTTTGAAGAAAATCATCGGTAAACTCATCACAGGTTAATGTTCAAATCTAATATATCAAGCTGTTATAGAATTTAAGTGCAGACTCAAAATATAAGTGTGTGTATAGTAAATATTCACTAGTTCGGTCTAAAAATCATCTAATTCTAAAACAAAAAAAAAACAACTTACTTATTTTATTAACCTACGCTTTTAAGATTTAGTTTCTTAAGAGTATACTATAAAAACATATATAATACTTTACCATTCTCGTATATATATAAACCATGTATAAACTAAAAACTGTTTGATTTATTAAATGATAAACCAGAACACTTATAATAAATAGTTTAAATCTCTCACTCTTACAATTATAATAGCTAGATAGGGTATTACGGAGAAACAAAGATTAGACAAATTATTAAATCTATCCTTCTTCGAATAAACTTTTTTAAAAAGGTGATTATAATCATGCCATGATATTCATTAAAAACCTTTTAATGAATAAATATAAAGATTAAAATATTTAATCTGAATGACAAATTATATATATATATATATATTAAAATTTTGTCCATTTAACGAAGTGTATTTCTGGAATTGTCAGGATAAATAATATATTAGAAACAACATAGTTAAAAATTAATTTTATGCATAAAAGTATATACATCAAAGTACCTTTTGTTAATTTACAATCATGTTTTTGGTAACTAAATCAAAACAATCATTTTATTTACTTTATATGGTATATAATTAAACTTTAACGATTTTAACATAGATATATACATATATGTAGTATATTTTAATATAAATATTTATTATTGACATTTTTGCTTCATATGATTTTATTAATATTTGTAAAATTGTTGTAGCAAATATTAAAACCGTTAATCACAAATCTATTAATGTGGGATTTTCCCAATACAAATTTCAAAATTAAAATATTAATATCATATACATTTTTTCACTGGAATTTCTAAATTAACATATTTATATATTTTATAAAGTATATAATTTTATTTAAGTGATATTAATATACATATATATATATATATAATATGAATATCTACTAATGAGACTTCATATTCATACGAGTTATGATAATTTGTATCTTGCTTGAATAAAAACAAAGTTAAACCATTGATCATAAATTTTTTAATGTGAGACTTTTACTATTTTTAGTAATTTATGGTTGTTTAAAAAAAATCAAAATATAACATATAATAAATTTTTATTTTTTAATATATATTTAATGTGATTGTTTAATTTATTTAATAATATAAAATTAAACAAAAAAGCGAGAGGACTGAAAAATATGTATTATTCATATTCATTAATTGCATATATATGTTAATCATATCAGGTAATTCTATAGCTTTTATATAAGGAAAGAAAAAATATTGTTTTGTACACTACTAATCATTTTAATAGTTAGTTTAATAAATAGTATAGTATATATTTATATGGACCAATTTATTTTTCTAAAGATTCTAAGAATCGTTCTGGTGATGACACGTGGCTACGAAAACATGTTGTAATGCTCCAAGATTAATATATAGGGGATGATCTCTATGAATAGATCTTTAAGATAGTTTACATGAAGTGTACTGATATATTATTGATAATGAATCCAAGAAGTATTTGTTAGCTAAGGCCTATGGCACACCCCTTTTAATACATGTAAAGTTGGATCAGGAATACCTGAAATGCCTAGAACAATGACGATATAAGAAGTTTGAACTCACAAAATAATCTTCAATAACACTTTTATTAAGAATGGTTTAAACATACTCAACAGTTCTATTTAATTTGGTTTCTATGACTACACACAACCGTGTATCTCGACTGAGCAATTCTAAATTATCCAAAGATGTGAGAAATACAATCCTGATTACTATCCTTATAGTTATCTCGTAGTCAGTCACTCATTCACTGAAACTCTAAGGCCTTGATATCTCTTTAGAAAACACACAACTATTTCTTAGATTATCATCCTCCTTCTATACCACGTCGTGTGTAGATTCTTTGAATCTTCTTCTCCATATCTCTCTCTATTTCCTATAACTGCATAGATCACAATTTTGTATCCTCCAAATTATTAAACCTGTCATCTCGTCATTTGATACTCCAAACCGAAACCATTTTGAACCGGCTTCAACATCTCTTAACATCTTGAATTTATAATTTTCCCCTTTTTGTCTGTTCGAATCACCTCATTCCTGAACTCGCATAGAAAAAAATACACAAAATTCACAGCACTAGTTGCATCCACCATTAGTTAAAGCACACAATATTGAGCGCTCAGCAAGCTTCTGTTCAACCATTTTACACCAAGTTCATAACCAGTTCAAAAAATCACACAACATAAGCATAGTTTAGAATCAACATAAAGCAAGCATAAAACAACTGACACAACGAGTTCAGCCGAACCAACAATCCGCGCCAATATCTCCCCCTGAATGTGTGGCTCGTCAGATAAAAACAAGTTCACCGACTGCGTCTTGGATGATACATTGAGGTTCTCCCATAACCTGGTCATCATCAATCATGTAACTAATATCCTTCTGAATACTCCATAATTTGATGGATAAAGTTTGGAAAGACAACATCTGAATCTTTGGTCAAATCGCTAATGATGCGACGAATCTGACACACCACCAGATCACCAAAGTTGGTTTGTTCCTCATGACCAAAGAACTTAGCAATCTGAGATGCTGCTGAACAATATCGTCCTCTTCCTATCCTGGAATCCAGTTTGAACTGCAGATATCATAGGTCTGACGATAAACATGGAAAAGGTCTTTGACTGAGAAGGCCTTCCACTGACCACGAAGACCGCATGTGAGAATCAAAACAGAGTGATCTAGATCTGCGTCTCGCCAACTCTAGGAGTCCCCATAATCTGGTATGTTGAAACTCTGATTCACAACAATTGTGGTAAACTAAAAGACTTCAGTTCTTACTTGAAGTGTCAAACTTGGCTCCACCATATTTACGAGAAACTCACTGACCAAGATGAGTGAGAATGCAGGAACATCAGTCACCATTGTTCTCTAACCCATGCTATTAACGAGGTTCATAACCGGGTGAAATTCAGGAACATGCACATGAATGATCCTTTGGGTACGAAAGCCTCCGAGGCATAGATTCTGATACACTACAAGCGCATTATTAGATACAAACCGATCTGGAACCATGAGACTTTCCTTTCAGTGAGAACCCTATTTATGAAATTACTTATCTTTAAAAGCATGGTCAGTAAGATAAGAAGGTGAGGTCCACTTACTTTAAAAACATATATTAAGAACTAAACAATAAACTCATATGTTTAGCCATGACACCAAGGTTTATCATTATTTCCACATAATATCTTCATATAGTAGTATTTCACATAAAACATAACCATTCAGATATATACTCAAAACTTAGCTTATATGTTTAGACCCCTCTTGTTTGAATGGTAACCAAATTAGTGAATCATTTTCCCTATATAGTTGAGGCTTACTACCTCATAGTCATTCAAGGAAATTTCAACCTAAAGATATTGAATTTCTCAGCCGATATGCATTTTTTTCCCATCTAATGTGGTACCTCTTTCCCTTAAGATTTAGTCTACAACACCATCAATACTTTACTTAGCAAGTTTTCGTATCATCGAAATAATTATCTTGTCTTAGAGCTTACTTGCAACCATTTCGTGGTATTGCGTTTCTCAACCGAGATGCATTCATACCCTCTTCTTTTTAAATTTTTTTAGCTCTTAGGTTTATCAAACCTCTTCTTAACATTTTATAACTTTTCCCATTTGAGATAGTTATTTTAACATTTTCAAGCGTTACAAGGTATAGTGAATCTACTCGAAATTCATAGCTCACACTCAGTTCATACATTGATCAAACTCATACACAAACTGTGGTGACCGCCTGATCCGATAGGAGTGTTTATCTTCTTGAGACTGATTTTATGTGTTTACAAACTGAAGTTCCTAATATAGGTTGATACTCTTCATTAGGGTCACAACCTCTTATTTGACTAAAGAGACTTAACATTTTACTCATTGGAAATCATCTTGGTTACAATCTAATGTCCAGAGATAATGAATCCTTAGAGCCTCTCATACATAAAAGAGACAATTAAGATCCTTGGGTTTCTTAAACACATCTAACAGCTGATTTTCTGAGGTTTTGAGTCTGAAGATGGCTAGTTTTTCTTATAACAAGTTAAAAACAAAATCGTGTCTAACATCAATATCTCTAGACCTCTTAGCATAAGATCTTCTTTGACACACAAAGCAATTACGTTTTGAATCATCACACGCAAACCGTATAGAGTTAGTAATGTTACTGTAGTAGTTGATCAGGTGTGTCAACCAAATGATCTGAACACATCGCTTTCCAAGAGAAAAATGCTTATGTAGTGTGATCATAGAAGTGTCTTGGCTATCACGATATACTTCTCTTGTAGCTTGGACCCGCATCCATGACACACCACTGCAAAACAAACATTCTTATCAGTAAGCTCATAAAAGTTACATACAAGTTCTCTCTGCATGTAATATATCACTCGCTTTACCCTATGGAGGTAGTACATATTATACAAAAATCGTGTGTCTTCCCACAGACTCAAATTAATGCAGAGCTCTGGCTGACTTGCACTGAGATAGACAAGAATTATCATCAATGCTTTGTTGCACTAAACTACCCTGTTGATTTTTTCTTCAGAGTTACCAGCTTGCTTGATTTGATGCCAAACCGTTGAGTTAAACTCATGGCCATCAACTCATGATCTAAGCACTTTTGTTGGGATCCGAGAAAGTACATCAGTTCTCCTCTGACACTTAGCTGATACTCATGTTTTCATTGATATACTTCTCCCGTTTAGCATGACTGCCTACTTTGTGACCCTGGATCGAAATTTTTTGTGCATTACATCATCAATTTTAGATGTTAATCTTTGTACTAGATTAACGTTTATGAGAGATGTTTGTGCTGAGTGGTTGATTGGTCCAATGCCTTGAATTTTCCCCTTCTTGCCATCACCAGACATGACCCTTTTCCAATGGTTTAAACCAGATTCGTCAGTATGCCGATGTCTCCAATCATGTGTCATGAGCAGCCATTGTCAAAGGACTAATCTCCAGTCACATTTTGCTCATGTGCTGCAAATGCAGTTTCACAGTTTTCTCATATTTCATCCTCACCTTTATCGATTATAACATGATTATAAAGTTTGTCCTCTGATTCAGACTCTTGAATCTGATTGGGGGTACAAATCTGTCTTTGTTATTCAAACTCTTCCAATCCATTTTATTGCAATAAAGAACTTACCAGCCTTCCAATCTTGATGAATTTTTGGAGAAATTTATAGAAAAATGCTTTCTTATGTCCCATTCTTCCACAAGCAAAGCATCCTCTCCTTTTAACAGCAGGTGGAGTCAGCAATTTCTCATGATCATTCACTTTGGCTCATGTCGCTTGTTTTCCTCTAGCAGTCAAAGCCGCATGGACTTATCCTACTGTGACTGTTTTTCGGATCTCTTGGCACCGTTCTCATTTATGGTCTCTTGCAGCAGTTCTCTTCCACGTACAACACAGTCCATGCAGACTCTTTTCCATTGTATCTTAATCCCCATTTGACTTTTGGAGGTTGTCCCATAGTCAAGAGTTGATCTAGATCGTTAGTTCCTTTGCTTAGCATCCAAACTTTTGGTGATTTTTAGTCAGATCATGTTCCAACCCTCGAGCTTTGGCCTGTTCTTCTGTGAAAGCTTGCCACATCTTCGCCACATGATCTTCCAATACAAGGCTCTTTTGTTTCTCATCAACAAGCTCCCTTTCTATATCTTTCACGCTTCTCAACACATTTTCCAATTTAGGTGCCTTATTCTCTTTGTCCTCTGGATTGATTGAGTCGATAGTCAGAATATTAACTTGAGCTTTCAACATAGCCGTGTCCTTTATTAGTTGAATTTTCTCATGAATAAGCTTCATGCACTGATATTTAGCTTCATGCACTGATCATACAGATTGTGATATTCTTTCCTGACATATATTCCTCTCCTTCATCATCATCCGTTGTGTTTGTGTCTGAAGGTGTTTTTATGTTCCTACTAATTCCACGACGTTCAGTACCAGGTCCTTGTTATCATCCTTGTCCTCATATTTTGTGTCGCTAAAGCGCAACAACGATTTCTTTCCATTCTTCTGCAGGTTTTGATACTCGGCTTAACATATCCCATACCTTTGCATTCAGAACAGTTCATCTCTTTCTTTTTAAACAAAGAAATTTCCCGCTGAAGATGTCCAAACCCCTCACACTCATGACATTGCACATCTTTCTTACAATCTTGTCTCTATTCATTTGTTCTTCACTGCACACTCATGATTTTCACCTCTGTTGAATCGGCCAAGACTTGTATACACGCTTTTGTCAAGACTTTTCACCATATTGTTGAAACTCTTTATCATCAAACTAACATCAGCTTCTAGCTTCTTTACTCTCCCATCCTCGGAATTTACTTTGAAAGCAATGCCTTTTATTGGAAATGATTGATCTTCAATATGTTCTATCTCAAAGGACATAATTAGTTCAATTAGCCTTTCGAACTTCGTCTCATCTGAGTTTGTGGTAGCTTTGATGACAACCTTGTAAGCCTCAAAACTCTTGGGGAGATACCTGATGAGCTTCTTAATAAGCTTATTTTCGCTTTATTTGAAATTGTGTTCAGCATACTTGTGAAGTTTACCAGAGGTTCATCTTCCTCAATACTCAAATTATCCTACTTGGTCTCTAGATGATCAAGATGAGTCATCTTAACACTCATATCACCTTTAGAGTAACTGAACATTGTATCCCAAGTATCCTTTGCAGATTCATATCCTTGAATGATCTTGAACTGATCAATATCAACAGTCGAAAAAATAGTGGAGATAGCTTTCAAGTTGAAATTTGACGTATTATTTTCTTTAGTCGTCTATTGATCTAATGGCTTAAGCACTTCTTTTCTTTTCTCATCATACATGGTGAGTTCATACCAACCATTTGCAACAGCCGCCCATGCTTCTTCATCAATACTGCGAATGACATGTTTGATCTTAACCTTCCGATGTAAAAAACTTGACCCATCCAGCATGATCGGCTTTTTCACTGCAATTAAATCCTTCATATGGTCCATGTTCTTTCCAAGTTCTCAACCTGTATATGATGCTTGATATCGAAGAGGTTGAATGCTCTGATACCAAATGAAATAAATAGCAAAGTGACGACACAAGAAGCTTGAACTCACAAAACTATCTTCAGTAACATTTTTATTAAGAATCGTTTAAACAAACTCAACAGTTCTATTTAGTCAGGTTTATGTGACTACACACAACCACGTAACACGATTGGACAATTCTTAGCCATCCAAGACGTGAGAACTATAACCATGGTTGCTACCCTTACAGTTCGCTTGTAGTCACTCTTTCACTGAAAACCATAGTGCCTTGATATCTTTTTAGAAAAACGCAACTATTTCTTAGGTAAACACCCTCCTTTACCACAGCATGTGAAGATTATTCGAAATATTATTTCCATATTTCTCTTTATTTTCTATAAATGTGTGGATCACAATCTTGTATCCTCCAAGTTATTAAACCAGCCATTTCGTCATTCGATACTCCAAACCAGAACCATATTGAACCGCCTTCAACATCTCTTAATATATTGACTCTTCAATAGCAGATAGCTTCTGGTTTGTAGCTAGTTTGATAATAAGACATTCGTGGATATTTTTATTGATATCACTGGTCCGCACGGTTTTGCAGTTTCTGGATTTCTGGCTGATGGTGTTGTTGTGGATGGTTTACAAGAAATTGGCTAATGGATTAATAGCTCTCGGAGTAGAGATCATGTCATTGCTCTTTTGAAGACAATTGGACCATGGTTAGATTGCAGCTTCAGAGGTAGATGATCATTATCTTTGGAATATAGGGTTGGAAACCCGAAAACTTGTTTCTCTGCGTCAAAAACATCGAGGTTACTCCATCGTCAAGATGTGCTGGTGTTT